TAACCTGTACACACTAGATGTAAACAGGGACTGTAGCCTGAACACTAGATGTAAACAGGCCCTGTAACCTGAACACATTAGATGTGAGCAGGATCTGTTACCTGTACACACTAGATGTTAGCAGGCTCTCTAACCTGTACACAGTAGATGTGAGCATGTCCTGTATCCTGTACACGATAGATGTAAGCAGCAGGCTCTGTATCCTGTACACACTAGATGTAAACAGGCCCTGTAACCTGTACACACTAGATGTAAACAAGCCCTGTAACCTGTACACACTAGATATGAGCAGGTCCTGTAGCCTGTACACACTAGATGTAAGCTACACACTAGATGTAAGCAGCCTCTGTAACCTAAACAGGCTCTAAAACCTGTACACACTAGATGTAAGCAGGCTCTGTAACCTCTACATACTTGATGTGAGCAGGCTCTGTAACCTGAACACACTAGATGTGAGCAGGCTCTGTAACCTGTACATACTAGATGTAAATAGGCTCTGTAACCTGTACACACTAGATGTGAGTAGGCTCTGTAACCTGTACACACTAGATGTAAACAGGCCCTGTAACCTGTACACACTAGATGTGAGCAGTTTCTGTAACCTGTACACACTAGATGTAAGCAGGCTCTGTAACCTGTACACATTAGATGTGAGCAGGCTCTGTAACCTGTACACACNGAAACAGGCCCTGTAACCTGTACACACTAGATATGAGCAGTCTCTGTAACCTGTACACACTAGATGTAAACAGGCTCTGTAACATGTACACACTAGATGTAAGCAGCCTCTGTAACCTGTACATACTTGATGTGAGCAGGCTCTGCAAACTGTACACACTAGATGTAAGAAGGCCCTGTAACCTGTACACACTAGATAGATGTAAGCAGGCTCTGTAACCTGTACACACTAGATGTGAGCAGGCCCTGTAACCTGTACACACCTGATAGATGTAAGCAGGCTCTGTAACCTGTACACACTAAATGTAAACAGGCTCTGTAACCTGTACACACTAGATATGAGAAGGCTCTGTAACCTGTACACACTAGATGTGAGTAGGCTCTGTAACCTGTACACACTAGATGTAAAGAGGCTCTGTAACCTGTACACACTAGATGTGAGCAGCAGGCTCTGTAACCTGTACACACTAGATTTGAGCAGGCTCTGTAACCTGTACACACTAGATGTAACCAGGCCCTGTAATCTGTACACACTAGATGTGAGCAGGCCCTGTAACCTGTACACACTAGATGTAAATAGGCCCTGTAACCTGTACACACTCGATGTAAACAGGCCCTGTAACATGTACACACTAGATGTGAGCAGGCTCTGCAAACTGTACACACTAGATGTGAGCAGGCTCTGTAACCTGTACAAACTAGATGTAAACAGGCCCTGTAACCTCTACACACTAGATGCGAGCAGGCTCTGTAACCTGTACACACTAGATGTAACCAGGCCCTGTAACCTGTACACACTAAATGTAAGCAGGCTCTGTAGCCTGTACACACCAGATGTAAACAGGTCCTGTAACCTGTACACACTAGATGTAAATAGGCCCTGTAACCTGTACACAATCGATGTAAACAGGCCCTGTAACATGTACACACGAGATGCAGGCCCTGTAACCTGTACACCCTAGATGTAAACAGGCCCTGTAACCTGTACACACTAGATATGAGCAGGTCCTGTAGCCTGTACACACTAGATGTAAGCAGGCTCTGTAACCTGTACATACTTGATGTGAGCAGGCTCTGCAAACTGTACACACAAGATGTGAGCAGGCCCTGTAACCTGTACACCCTAGATGTAAACAGGCCCTGTAACCTGTACACACTAAATGAAAGCAGGCTCTGTAACCTGTACACACTAGATGTGACCAGGCCCTGTAATCTGTACACACTAGATGTGAGCAGGCCCTGTAACCTGTACACACCAGATGTAAACAGGTCCTGTAACCTGTACACACTAGATGTAAGCAGCAGCCTCTGTAATCTGTACACACTAGATGTAAACAGGCTCTGAAACCTGTACACACTAGATGTAAGCAGCAGGCTCTGCAACCTGTACACACTAGATGTGAGCAGGCCCTGCAACCTGTACACACTAGATGTAAACAGGACCTGTAACCTGTACACACTAGATGTAAACAAGCCCTGTAACCTGTACACACTAGATGTAAGCAGCAGGCTCTGTATCCTGTACACACTAGGCCCTGTAACCTGTACACACTAGATATGAGCAGGTCCTGTAGCCTGTACACACTAGATGTAAGCAGCAGCCTCTGTAATCTGTACACACTAGATGTAAACAGGCCCTGTAACCTCTACACACTAGATGCGAGCAGGCTCTGTAACCTGTACACACTAGATGTGAGCAGGCCCTGTAACCTGTACACACTAGATGTAAACAGGCTCTGTCTCACCTGCATGCAGCAGTTGTCGATGATCATGGTCTCAAACTGTATTTTTGGGTAGTACTGGGCCACCTCCTCACAACACTTCAGGAACAGACCGTCTCCCAGCTTCCTGTAAAACATTGACAAGCCATTTAGTGCAAGGATAATCATTGCCATTGCCCTAGTTTTGAACAACATGCATTAATCATCATGATGATGCCTTTTCTATTTTTTTAATTTTGGCACTCAGTACTTTTTCATAGATAAAAGAGCCTGTCATTATAAACAGAACTAGAATTTGTCGCAGCATAGCCAGGCTTAACCACTCCTCACTAGTCAGTCACTGCCCTAATTGTACCTATGACATTATATACAATGGACGTGTAA